AATAGAAGAACTCTTTAAAACAATAAGATGGCTTTCAAGCACGTGGGGAATGAAAGGCAGAGATAATGTATGTCATATAACTTGAGATCAAAGAAAGTATGTCTCGTAGACTTTCTGAAAAAGATTTTTTTATTCAGACCCTAAAATTTCAGGCATAGCCCTCTGCTTATTTTCGCAGGCCTGAGGTACACCATTAAAGCAGTGAGAAGTAGCTGCCCCTGTCTTCCCTTCCACTTCCCCAGGCAATTTAGAGATTCTGAGATTGCCCGTGGAGTTTAAAGCTAATACTTGAGACAGTGAATTGTCCACAGACCCAAGGGCAGTCTGACCATAAGGCTGTAAGTCTACTGGCACGATTCACAATAAACCCACTCAAATAAGAAATCTGCCCAAATGAGATAGCCACTACTGTTGGTGGCCTGGCAATGTGCGAAGACCCAGCTGAGGATCCTGTCACTCTTGTAGCCATTTGCTCACTGCCTGGCATCATTCTGCCACTCACAGTAAGCATGTCATGTTTGTGTTTGGTCCCCCTGCCCCGGCCCCTGCACTGCCTCAGGCATCTTACACTACTTATCTCCCTGTGCTCCCTACCAGCCCTTTTGGCGTTTCGTATACATCTTATTATTCATATCTTGGTCTAATTAATAAAGAGCATGGGCGACTCCCCAGCTCAGTGCCTCTCAGGCCTCTTTTCACTGTTTTTTCATACTTCTCTCAACTTGTACAAGTGGTCTTTTCTGTTCCTTTTCCATTCCTCTCATCTCTCCTCCTTCCCATATCCTTCTCAATCTACTTATCCCACTCCCCATCTTCCATAAGTATCTTATACCTTTCCCCTCATTTCTCTTTGACTGAGTTCAATTCAACCACCATCTGTTGCATGTTCAGTTGTGGACTGTGTGATAGGTTACACCTCAGAGGGTCTGAAGTTCAGTCGGGGGGACAAGGCATAACCATGGTACTCTTACTGACTATGAGAAATCATTATTATTGAGAGTCAGACAGAAAAATGATGTGAACTAGGATCTAAATAGGTAAGAAAAGCTTCTGTCTTTTTTTAAGTTTCTAAACTTTGAATACCTGGCTTAACCTTTGCTAATTTCTCACTTGTTAAAGAATAAAGGTCAATTAAAAACATGAAAAATATGAGAAAAAAACCTTTTTTTAAAAAATTCAGTGTTGTTACTTTCAAATGGCTGACGTAAGGCTGTATTAGAGAAAGAAGAGCCAGCACATCGCCACCCTTGTGAATATGTTAAGGAGTGGACAGGCTTTATTTTTGATGAACAAGGTGGATCTTTCTCCTTGAGTCACTGCACTGCTTAGTGCTGGGAAAACCTTTACCCTCTGACTCTCCTGGGGGATTCTTCCCCACATTTCTGTTTCTTGTTTTCCTTATTTCTTTATTTTTCTTTATTTCTTCAGTTACAATTCCCAACTTTGAGTCAATATATGTAACTCAAAAATCGAGTATGGTTCAGACATACAGATTATTAGGTGGATTTTTAAGTCATTTTTTCCCCCATTTTATTTCTCTCGGCTACTTTCCAATAACAAACAGAGACACACTTTCATCTTTTAAATATATATTCTGTTTATATTGTTGTATATTTATGTCTAAAAGAAAATATTCTAGTAACTTTCTAAAGCACGATTCTTTTCCAAACTATTTTTAATTGTAAAAATAGCATACCTATTCTAGAAAAATACCTCCACATATGCACCAAGAGGCACAGGTGTTCAGAAAGAAACAAATAGAAGAAAGTTCATTTATAGCATTATTTGAAATATTAAATAACTGACAGCAAGCTATCAATTATTTGAGGACTGGGTAAATGAACTATGGTATCCATAATTAGAATATTATTCGACAACTTAAAAAATGAAGTGGATTTATGTACATTATAAAAAAAACCCAGCTCTATATTAAAGAGGGGAAAAAACAGCTCTATGATATAGAAAAATAGTCATGATATTATTTTATTCATGAAAAATGCATGTGCAATAGAAAAACCAAATATTTTAACATGCAAATTTATGCTATAAAAGTAGTATACGGAAAAACGCCAACAACACACACACCACTGCTCATTGTGTAGTCATGAATTACCTGTTTAATTAAAAATTGAAAAATTAAGTTTAAAAAAAATTATGCGTAGTAAAAATTTCAGAGTATGGAAAAATTTTTACTGGAAAGAAAACAGTCTTCTACATCCTCAGTCCTACTCAGCAGGTGTAACCATGAATGGTTCTGGTACATTATTACAGAAAATTTTCATAATTGTAATAGGTATTTTCTCACAAATGGAAACATATATATATATAATTGCAAATTGAAATGTTTTTACTTAGCTATCATTTGTAGTAAATATAGATCAATGCATATCAATCTACCTTTAGTCTTTTTAATGGTAACTTTCATTGGTACAATATTTTATTTAACTAGTCTCTTATTGATGGATATTTAGATTGTTACTGTTTTTAATAAAGAGGAAATTTTAGAAATGATATTGCAACAAATGTCCATAAACAAATATCTTTCTCACTTATTTTAGTACAACTGCAGGAAAAATTCCTAAAGTCAAAGGATAAGTATTAAAAACTTAGATAAATGTTGATTTGGTAGGTTTGACAATTTGGCCAAACTGTTCTCAAAATGCTGCAGTAATTCACACTTTCTAACAGTGTGCGAATGTTTCCCACACTCACACCAATACTTTTCATCTTCATCAATCTGATAAGTAAAATGGCATCCTTTGTTCTAATCTGGATTTTCACAAAATCATGAGTGAGGCTGAAATTTTTTTTATGCTGCTGGCCTTTCTATTTCTGTGAACTACTTGTACTTATCATTTGCCTTTTTTTTCTTTTAACTTTTTTTTAAGTTTGATTTGAAGTGCACTTTGTATAATTAATAAATTAGCTCTTTATCATGTGAGAGTTAGGATTATGCTATAATTCATAATTACATGATGAGTAGTTTTTGTATGTATTCGAACTTTTTTTTATTCCAGACTTTTTAAAAACTGTTTCTGTTGTAGTAAAATATTCATAACATATTTGCCATGTCAACTATCTTTAAGTGTGTAATTCAGTGGCATTGATTACATTTATAATATTATGCAACAATCATCACTATTTATTTCCCCAAATTTTCATCACCCTAAACAAAACATTTACTCATTAAACAATAATTCTTCATTCACTCCTTTCCCAGTCCCTTGTAACCTTTAATCTACTTTGTCTCTATGAATTTGCCTATTCTACATATTTCATGTAAGTGGAATCATATAGTATTCATCCTTCTGTATCTGACTTATTTCATTTAGCACAGTATTTGCAAGGTTCGTCCATACTGTAGCAAGTATCAGAACTTTGTTCCTTTTTATGGCTGGATAATATTTCATTGTATGGATATGTCACATTTGTTTATCCATTCATCTATTGATGGACACAGGTTGTTTTCCATCTTTAGGCTATTGTGAAAAATACTGTAATGGACAGTGGCAATTAAAGTGCCTGCTTTCAATTACTGCGGCTATATACCTATGACTGAAATTGCTGGGTCTTATGGTAATTCTGTTTAGCTTTTTGAGGAATTGCCAATCTCTTTGTTAGCTAATTTGTTTATTAGCACTAACACTGTTTTTGTGGCATCCTTAAGCTTTTCTAGATATAACATCATGTCTTCTGTGAATAGAGATAGTTTTACTTATTTCTTTCCAGTTTGAATGCCTTTAATTTCTTTTTCTTGCCTAATTTCTCTAGTTCTGTATACTTTCATAGCATATATTTGCATATCGAATATTTGTTTTTTTGCATTGTCCTCTTTCATGAATAAAATTATAGCATGACTATTATTTTGCAAACTGCTTTTATGACAAACTATATTTTAGAGCTTCCCGAACATATATAGATCTATCCCACTTTTTTGAACTGATAGATAAGATCTAAATATGGATAATATCGTTTATTTAACTATTACACAAATAATGGATAGTTAGGTTGCTTCCAGTTATTTGGCATTTAAATTATAACTTCACGTTGTCTTTTTCCCTATGCAGAAGTTTCAAACTTTTTTGCGTGGTAAAATTGGTATACGAGAAAAAATTTCAAACTTTTTATGTAGTCAGATGTTACTTTTTTTTTTTTTTTTTAGTGCTTCTGGGTTTGGGGGCATGCATGGAAAGTCTTTACTGCAAGACTGTTAATTTTTTTCTAGAACTTTTTTTGATTTATTGTCATGTTTAAATCTTTGAACCATTAGGAATTTATTTTGACTTAAGGAACGTGGGAGTGATGCAGCTTTATTTTCTTCCAATGGCTAGCTGATTCTCCCAACATCATTCACTAAATAATCCGTCAACTGGGAGTACTTATAAAAGAAGTACAAAATTCATGTTGAAAAAGGATAAAACCCTTTTACTCCTGTAATATAGGCAAAGACTCAGACTCAGGAGAATGAGTCTCCTCGGAGTCAGAGAAGCCTACTCATCATTCAGAACTGAACTAGAGACAGATTAGGGACTGTTCAGCAAAGCGTGTGAGACTACGGCTTTTAACGTGATTTCTTTATTCAGGCCCATTGGTGAAATCTGTGAATATGTTATGGAAATTAGAATCTTTATTCCGTTCGTGTCCCTTTGCTGGTGGAGTTTTGAGCTAAAAATGGGAACCCTAAAATTCTACCGCTGGTTCTGCTTACGCATGGAACTGTGCCTGCAAACAAAAACTAAGGAAGACCGAACAAGCTGACGACTTAAAGAGAAGCAAGTGGCGGCCGAAAATAGTTAGATTCTTGGACTTGGAACGCATCCTTTAATGCCCAAGTCTCTGGCTAATAGCGAACCCAACGGAGAAGACAGGATTCCTAGGAATTGAGGAGGATTCAGCGGCGGCCACGGCCCACAGGTCCCAGTCTTCATTCAGGGCGGGACACGCCCCTCACTGCCTCGGCCAATCGGGAGTGAGGGGGCGGGGCCCAGGGGACAGCCAGAGGCCGGGCGGGCGCAGGAGTAGGGGCAGGCGGGTCTCTGGAGGTGGCAATTTTCTTGGGCCCACGGCGCTTGGGAACCGGTGGAGAGGCTGGGCTGGCCTGGCTTCGGCCTCAAGCGTCGGGCAATGGCGGCGGGGGGCAAGCTGGAGGATGTGAGTGCACGAAAGTGGAGGGCGGCTGGCCCGGAACCCCTTCTTCCTGTGCTGGGCGCGCTGGGCGGAGACTGCGGGAGGAAGCCACCCTAAATCCGTGCGGCCGCAGCAGGAGGCGGTGCCTGCCGCTGGGCTGCCCTGGAGCGCGGGGTTGCGGAAGGCACCAGGGCAGGTCGGGGTTCGCAGTGCGCCGGCTCTAAGCTTGTTTTCCCGGGTGGAGGCCAGGGTGGGCTGCTGGCCGGTGGCCGCATGGGTGCTGGGGTCCCAGGCAGGCGCCTAGCCCACGCGCTGTGCGCATCATTGATCCCGGAACTGAGAGCTTCACGTGACGCGCGCCTGGCCTGACAGCCCTGGCTCCCGGCGCGTCACAGGGCGCCGGGCCCTTGGCTCCGCTCCATCGCCCCTGGGGCTCAGGAGGTGAATCTCCCGGCATCGTGGGGCCTCTGCCTCGGCCTTTGAGGGCTGTAGACCTGGGGCGGCTGCAACACGCAGACCCGCCACTGGCGTCCCGCGGGCAGACCTGTTGCTGTCATCACCCGGAAACCCACGTTAGAGAAAAACAATATCGTGATGTTTTGAATCTAGAATCTAGACATGGTAGGAATAAAAGGATTTTTAAATTTTCTTTCTTAGGTGGATTCAAACCGAATTACTAAAATAAATAAATAGATAGATAGATAAATAAATAAATAAATAGTGCCCTCGTTTATAGTGTATGTAGTACAGAGTGATAGCATAATTGCAAAAATCTTTGCCTAAGAATATTAAAACATTTTTAGAGCAAATATATTTGTGCCCAGATTAACTGGTTGCCCCATTAACACAAAAAATGTTCTTGCCCTTGAGAAATGAAAAGTTGACAGCTACATTAAAGCACTAATTTCGATTACTAAATTAATAGAAATATTACTGTGATCCTATCACTGAATAAGGTACATCAGGCAAGGCACATGAAACACAATCCCAACCCTACAGGACCTTAGATTCTTGTGTAAATAGCGATTATAGTTAAATTATCTTGACTAAAGAAAGATTAAACAGTTTCTAATGATAAAATTAAAAATTCCCCCCCCCTTTTTTCCCCTAGTGGAGAAAATGGAAAACTAACTGTAAGACCTAGAAATAGATTTGAGACTCATATATTTAAAGAATAATTGCTTCTAAATTTTCAAGGGTGGGAGTCATGGACTGACAATGTATGGAAAAAATGAATATCTGAGAGTAAAATGAAAGAAACGTGTGCAGTAAGTGCTTCTTTGTTAGTAAGCTACCCTAGTGTTCTTGGATCTACAGCTTTTAGCTTTAGGATGAATACAATCCTAGAAATCTGTTTCACCAAACAATTGTAAATTAATGTCTCACCAACAATTACGTAGCTAAATCACTTTCGATATGAGCAAGTTGCCTGCATGGATATTTTGTGGATATGATTTCTACCATTCAATAAAAAGCTAAAAGTTATGTCATGTCATAGGCCCAGACACTTCAATGAGTTAAAAAAGAGGCATAGGCTTTTTAGTTTGGGTTCATTGTTTACAAGCAGTGAAACCAACTCTGGCTAATTTAATATAACACTGGCAGCATGCTGCACTTTAAATGGGGAAAGGGTTAAGAAAGGGATTTATTTAAAAGGCCATAGCGTTGATGAACACCTCAGCCTCTGAAAGGACACAAACAAGGGCAGCTCAAGTCCTTTCAGAGTCTGTCGTGGAATGAATCTGCCTCAACCATGGTCTCCCTTTGCTTTGCTGCTCACAGAGATGGATTGGCCCAGCCCTCTTTAGTTCCATGACCAAACAATTGGAGATTAATATAAGTGAGGACTTGCTATAGATTACTGTCTATGGTTAAGGTCTCAATGCTAGCTTCATTTAAATCCCCAGGTCCCAACTGTTTAAGAAGTTGGGCAGTCTTTCATTTAATCCACACGCAATCAGGTGCTATATATCAGGTGCTAAAGATAGAACATAATATAATAAAGTCCTGTCCTTGTGAAGCACACCTTATTCCAGTGACTTTGATATCTTATGCTTAGTATTGTAAGTTATAATCGAGATGTGTATGAGTCAGTTTAAAACTAATTCAGAAATGACATGCTAGTAATAGCAAATAAAGACATTAAAAAGTTATTATAACTTTTCTATGTGTTCAAAAGGTTAAAAAGACACATGGAAGATCTGAAAGAGACCCAAGTCAAACTCGTAGGGATGAAAACAACAATGTCAGATGAAAAAGGGAGTAGGAACAGCATTGAGGCATCAGAGAAAGCATTATTTTTGCTGGAGCAAGTATTTGACAAGGGAGGAGGAGTACCTAGATGCACAGAGATTGAAAAGGTGTCCTGTGAGATGGGAACAATGAACAGCAGCAGAAGGGAGAGAAGGAGATGGGAGAGGCAAATCCTGAGAAGCAGCTTGAAAATGGATTGTAAATAGAGAGGCAAATCCTGAGAAGCAGCTTGAAAATGGATTATAAATAGCCAGACTAAGAATTTAGGTCTTATCCTGAGGATAATGGGGAGGTACCCAAGGTTTGGGGGAGAGAAACATGAATGTTCATCTTGGAAGAACTTTGACAGGACTGAGAGAGGTTGCTACAGTCTGGAGATTGGAAGGTACTAGCATAGGCCACGAAAAACGATGGGGGCCTGGACTGAGATAGAATAGAGAGGAAAGAACAGATTTAGGAGTTAGAATGGTCATGAATGTTATATGAGGAGCGAGGGAAAAGCAAGAATTAGAATTGTGGCTAATACTTATTGATTGCTTACCCTATGCCAAGCAGTGTTCTAAGCACTTTTATGTGTAGTAACTCATTTTATCTTCCCAACAAAGCTATGAAGCAACTTCTGTTATTCTCTTTCTTACAATTAGGAAACAGACAGAGAGAGATGAAGTAGCCTGCTCACAGCTAGGGTTAAGTAGGACTTATATTTGAACCCAGGCAGTTTGTCTTAGGAGCCTGCCCTTAATCACAGGATGTACTGCCTCTGGTCAGAGTTGATTGTCCCCACAGCTCTTGATAATTGCTTCTGATTATGATGATACCATACCATAACTGAGTTAAGGAACACTGCGAGGACAGGCTTACAATGTTCATTCATCACATATTTATTCCCTGAGTGCCAACCATGAGTCACTGTTGGGCACTAGGATTATAAAGACGTAGGAAGTAGGGATACAATGGGACTCATGAGGTCAACTGGGGAAGATAGTGAGAAGACCATCACAGGATAGTATGATAGAGGAGGTGAGCACCAAATGCTTTGGAAGACTTGGAGGGGTGGCATGATCCAGATGCTTGGGTACCCAGGAAAGCTGCCTAATGGTAATTGCCCGACCTGTGCCTGGAAGGCTGCGTGGATATTAATTAAGGGAAGAGCTGTGAAGGCTAGGACATCTGCTGACCAAGAAAGAACTAGAGGCAGAGGAGCCTTAAAGAGAACAGAAATAATTATAATCGCACCATGAGTTGTGGCAAACTAAACAGGAAGCTGTGTAGGCATTGAATAAAAACATTGCAGAGCAGCATTGAATGCCTTAGATTGAAAATCAAGCAGCCCACCCCAGATCTGGCTCATGTCCCAGATTACTGTATCATCTTTATAATCCTAGTGCCCAACAGCCATCTCACACCACTTGTCCCATCTTCTACCCCTTCCCAAATAAGGAGCCCTTACTTCTGTCTTTGAATCCTATTCTCAGGCTTTCCTTTCGTGCATTAAGTCTTTATTTTCCTCTCATTCTAGTACAACTAGCTAACTTAAATTTGTTGCATCATTTGTGCTATTCATTTGCTGATTTATTACTTCCCTATTATATACCACGCACTATATTCTATTGTAAATTCTGTATTGTTTAGTCCTGCATGCCTTTATCCCTAAACTCCCCAATGGAAATGTAATCTCCTTTTGGACTGTGTCTTATATTCTTTTATCTTGGATACAGTCAGTGCCTTACATATAATAGTTTTTAGTAAGAGTCTAAGATTGACAGATTGTCGTATGCACCAGAGACTAGGATGGACTGTTCCAAGACAATACCTTCAGTACCTGTAAACATGACTAGCTAAATTTTTAAGTTGCAGGTAAACCTTTGCCGACTATTTCAGTGACATTGCAACTGGTTGTTCTCATTGAGAATCTGGCATCTATAGACTAGTCTCGAGGGTGTATCAGGGTGATCTGTTTCTATTAGTCCTCTAAAATATGTCTATCATAATTCAAAGTTTGTTTTAAGACCTCTTAATAAAGCCTCCACCAACTTTCCAAAAATTTTTGGAACATAGAGACATAGTTTAAGAATTGCAACCTTATGTAATTATTTCATCAATAATATTAAATAAATCAATATCTAAATTTTAGAGCTTGAAAAAAATTATTGGCTTTAATCTCATTATATATTACCTTGTCTGAAAACAAATTAAGATGTCCTCTACCTGTTTTAATAATTGTTGTTTTTCACCAATTTGTGTACAATAGTTACCTAGAAGCTTATGGTATATTTACAAAATTGGCTTTAGCTAAAGAGTTTTTTGTGTTTTTTTTTTTTTTTTTTTTTGCCTCTAACTTGTGGAATGGTTTAAAGTGTTAAAGTTTAGTAGATTTGCCTTAGAAACATAACCCAGAAAATGGTGATTATAGCTTAATGCTTTTTTCTGCACCCCAGGGTTCCTTGGATCTCACCCAAAGTATTGAAGACGACCCCCTTCTGGATCCCCAGCATCTACCACATCATTCATTACATGCTCAGTTCACACCAAGATTCCATCCGCTTCCTACGGTCATCATAGCAAATCTTCTCCTGTTAATACATGTAAGTTGGCTGGGAAAAAGCGATCCATCTAGAGGTGATGGTCTTAAAATATATATAGAAGCTCTTCAGAGGGCAATTTGGCTATATCTATTAACATTTTAAAATGTATATACTTTTCTATGTGGTGACGGCAAGAAATCTAACTATGGGAAGTGAACACAGTGTAAATATATATATGCCTTACTGTTAAAGTATATAGTTGAAACTTATTAGATTTCATTAACCAATGTCACCATAAAAAATTAATTAATTAAAAAAATAAAATAAAACAAAATGAGCATACTGTTTTACTCCTATCTTTACTTCAAAGGATTTATTGTAGACCTATGTGCAGTATTATCCAATTTCTTTTTTAAAAAATGGATAATACTGTATTTATTACTGGACAGTAGTGTTTCTCATACTTCAGCATGCATCAGACTCCCGGGCAGACGTGTTGAACCTCAGATTGCTAGGCCACACCCCCAGAGATTTTGGTTCAGCTGGTCTGGGGTGAGACCTGAGAGTTTGTATTTCTAATGCTTTCCTGGGTGATGCTGGTCTGGAAACCACACTTTGAGCTACTATGCTACAACTATTTATTTTCATCTTAACATGTCATATCAATCTATCCAAATTAATAAACAGATTTAGTTAATTTTTTTATAGCTAAATAATATTCTATTATATGTGTGGCCGTCCCTTAATTTATTCAAGCATTCTGTTATGAATAGACACATATACTTGGACAGTTTTCACGTTTTGCAAATATAGAGAATCCTGCAGTAAATATTCGTATCCATGTGTACTAAGTCCTGGTGCTTTTACTTCTAAGGGATGGAGTCTTTAAGGTAGGATTTCTGGGTCAAGATATTTCTAAATTATTTTTCAACAGCAATTCTCAGACCAGTCAGCAATTTATGAGAATATCTGTTTGCCTGCATTTTGACACCAATCTTTTAAATTTTTGTCAATTTAATTGCATAGTTTTTCTTGTCTTAACACTGAAACTAAAAATAAACTCTTTCAAACCAAGATTTTTATTAGTTACCTTTAAGGCACTAAATAAACTGTTTTTACTCTTTTTGATATAAGAGAAGTGGGTAGAAAACTTTAACATTAAGTACTCATCTCTGTTAGATGGAATTTGGGGTGATTTTTATTTTCTTATTCGTGATTTTATTTGTTTTCCAAGTTACTTGCAAATTTTTCTCCAAATTTTCTGTTTAAAGGGTTTGTAAAAACATGTTTTTAAACTCATTTATAAAAAGTCAATAGCAAAAGTCGGAGGTTTAAGGATGGTGATTATTATTCCTTAAATCCAAATAATGAATTTTAACACTACCGCTTTCCTTTCCACCAGGTTGTGTTTGTTATTTTAGCATTTTTAACAGGTGTGCTTTGTTCTTATCCTAATCCAACTGAGGACATGTGCCCAGGAAACTACACCAGCCCGCTGAAAGTCCAGACGGTCATAATCCTTGGAAAAGTTGTGTTGTGGATTCTGCATTTCCTTCTTGAACGCTACATTCAGTATCACCACAGCAAAGTAAGAAACCGAGGCTATAACATGATCTACCAATCAACAAGGCATCTTAAAAGACTTGCACTAATGATACACTCCACTGGTAAGCCCATTTGGCTGTCTCAGCTTGCCTGTGGCTTGATTGAGTGGCAAAATGACAGCAGAAAGAAAATGTGAAGTTTGATTTTATAATCGAATACAACAGGTCCTTGAATAATGTTTCATTCAGTGTCATTTTGGTAAAATGTTGATAGGACGCTGTAGAAACTTAACTCTTGTTTATCTCAATTAGCCTGTGGTAAAATTGGTTTCTTTATACGTCGTTTTGCTTAGTTGTGGAACCTGTTCAAGATAAGTGAGGACCCACTGTAGATTCTCTCATTTTTGTAACAATGATAATATGTGTTGTGGCCACTAAAATTCGGATCACCTAAATGTCTTGAAACTTTTCTTAATTTTATATATAACCTTTAATATATAACCTTAATTTTCCTTTGAAATCTGTGTTTATTATTATATGGAGGAAACATCATTTTTCCTCTACCCTTCCTGGCTCTTGGCTGATACCCCACTGTAATAAGACAGATTAACAGGAGAAAAACAAACAACAGGTTAATAACTTGTATGCCTCCTGCCTGCATAGGAGAGACCCAGAAAAACTGAGTAAAACCCCAATGGCCCAAGTCATCACCTTAAATAATATCTCCAGCTAAAAGACGAAAGAAGATGAGGGGTGGGGATGGGATGACACCAGGAAAAGCACAGTAAACAAGGCTAAGATTCTTATGCATATTTAAGTAGGCGCATTCTCTATTAATAATAGTTTCTTGAGATTTAGAGTTATCCTCTTCCTTGTACAGAGAGGAAGATGTTCTTGCAAATGGATAACTTTTGCCTGGTTTTCAGAGCTTTTTCTGTATCTGCTGTTTCTTAAAAATAGTCAGCTTAAAATCATCCTTATGCCCAAAAGTCATATTTTGGGATGGCATTTCCTGCTCCCCTTCATTATAAACATGGTGTGCATGTATTCCTATGTGAAATGTAGAAATTCCATTTCCTTATTCATCTCAAGATTTAAATGCTACTGCTATTCGATACTTGTAAGATAAGAGGGAATTGTTTTATTTAAATGAAGCTCAGTACTAGTACTTTTCTTGCAGTAAGAGAGAGACTTATGTAATAAGATGCATTATCCAAAACTGAAAATGAAAAGCAGATTATGAAGGCAAGATCAGAAAGTCCATAGAGGATTTAGAATGTATGAGTGCCTGCTTTTCTTTATTGCTGTAGACATTTTAAAGGCTTAATGGCATTAAACTGAACTTCTTTAAGCATTTTTGCCTTAAATTTCCATCATTTTTAAAGACCCTCTTTTTCAATTTGAGTCCAGAATAAATCTTTAAACATTTTTGAAAACAGATTAGAAATGTATTTTTCTCCCAAACAGCTCTACAGAATTTAATTTTTATTTTTCTTCTGTGTTCTGTTAATACATTTCCTTAAGGGCAAACTGTGAGTATATCCACTCAGTGACGTTTTCAGTGGAAGCTGAAGGGCCTTGCTTTAACAGAGAAAGAAGCATTTTGTAGAGATGGCTAATTTTCACTCACCCAGAAGGGGACAGTTACTGCTCCTTGGTTTTGTAGGTTCAACTATTGATGTGTAGGACTCTTTCTTGGCCACAAGATGTCACTATCACCTCTCCTACCTCCATAAAGATAAAAGCAAAAACCTATTTTTAACTACTGAAAGACCTTATATGCTCTGTGAGCAAAATAAATGATCAGTTTCTTAAGTGATTCTCTAGAAATGGCATTTTTGAAGCCCACCAAGAGATTGTCTGATCTTTACCTCTCCTCTGACTTTCAAATTTTTGTTAAACATGTTACCCACAATCAAAGTATTTCCAAGCAATTGGACCCTGAGTTTAATCTCAAATAACATCACTTGTATGTTGCTCACATAAAGACCCAGAAAATCAAAGAGACTGGAGAAGGTATTTACCTTGTTTCTATTTTTTTTAAGTATAATTTTTCTTATTTGAAGAAAAGGTAAGTCATAAAAGATATAGAACTTCCAGCTAATCAGAAAGTTATAATTATTAAGTATATTTTTTCTTATTTGAAGAAAAGGTAAGTCACAAAAGATATAGAACTTCCAGCTAATCAGAAATTTATAATTATTTTTTTTTATCACATGTGATAGTGTTGGGTATTGATTTGCTTCATCCTGATACTTTCTGTTTTTCTCTAGAGAGAGAAAAATAAATTTATTTTATGTGGTGGAGATGGGAGGAGGGGCTTTCCTTTCCTTACAAATAAGTTGAAAATATTTATCTAATTTATCTGTTTTCCTTCCTTAGATCCAAATATATTTGAACTCTCAAATATTATTTGTTCCATAGCGAGTTGCATATTTAGTTGTTTGTTTTTCCATTGAAATGAAAACTTGGCCCTTTACTTAAAAGCAGTAATTTTCAATTTATCAGATGGGCCCAGACAAGTAGTGTTTCTCTCAGAGGTCTGAAAGGTTGAACCCAGAGATTGAAGACATGCAAAAGTTAGTTTGAAGAGCATTTAAGATCTTGCTCCCTGGCATCTGTCATCAGTTCGGTTCAAATAAACTCTTATAAAAATTCTACCAAAAAAACCCCAAAACACGAAACCCACAACAGTGCAGTTGGAGGGAACTACTCTAGAATGTAAATTCTGGAAGGAATACTTACTTATAAAAGCAAGTTGCAGTGAGAATTCTAGGGCCTGAGGTTGGAGAGATTGTGTGCTATACACCCTTAGCTTTCACTGGCCCCACATTGCTCAGGAGAAGGTGCTCTTGAGAACACGGGAGCAAAGAGGCTAGGTCTTGCTGTAGTGTAGCCTGAGACTATAAGTCTGCCATGGAGACTTGCTTTGAGGAGGAGCCGAATGGCATATGCCCAGTATTGGGATAGTTTCCATAAAACCAGTATTATTATAATGATGATATTTATTGAACTCTGATAGTAAGCACAGTAGCAGCAGGTGGGAGTACACGGTGAAGAATGAGGCTGGAGAGGTTAGCCAGGGCCAGATCCTGAGGGAGGCAGAAGGGAAGCCACTGAACTGGAGGGGCTTGTTGAGATTTGTGAGATTTAGAAAGAGCCGGGGAGTGCATTTGGTTGGAGCAAAACTGATTAGGCTGCGGCAGCAGCCCAGCGGCGAGGTGATCTTAGTCTGAACTGAGACGCGGTGCTGGGCAGGGCTTCCTCCAGGTGGGCACTTTTATAATACCCATGGCCCCGTGGGGGCGTTTCCAGTGGCCTCCCACGAGGCTGCAGACTTCTTGTCCAGAGGGCCCCCGATTATGCCCCGTGACCCACCAACCTGCGGCCATGTAGGAAATGCACAGCACATCAAAAATCCTCTGAAAAGGGTCGTGTTCGCTTCTGTGCAGAGGTTTTTTTTCTCTCTAGATGTTGTAAATTATATTTGTCTTGTTCACAAAACTAACTTACAAATCAAGCAATCTGTCAATATGCTAAATATGTTGTGACTGGTCGTTCGAGTGTAACGGGAGGATTTCAGGCTTGTTAGAACAGAGCTTTGTGCAGTGACTTCTGATAGGCCACTTAAACATGGCTCTTTGGCTTACAGTCATCTCGTTTGTACCAAAAAGATCAATCAAATAGGCATTTCCTCCCCATGACCAGACTTAGATAAATATATTAAGTAAGGTTTAGGAAATTCTAATACTATAGGAATGGCTTTAGCCCCTTAACTTTTTCTTTGACCGTCTTCAGAATAAAAGTGCAGAATGAGGTTTAAGTGGTCTTAAAAAATAATGGATATGCTGAGCAAGGGGGTGAAATAAGTCATATTTGTTGAATACTTATTATTTTTCACACATTAACTCACTCCTCACAACAGCACCATTGTGAGGAAGGTACTGTTATCCCCATTTTTCAGATGAGGAAGTCAAGGAGCAGAGGTAGTTGGTCATCTGTCCAAGGTTAGCCATGTGTCCCAGGTTTTCCTCCAGGTGTCTGGAACATAAGACACCCTCATGGCCGTGCAGGCCTCCTGTGGCGTACCGCGTGACCAGAATGGGCTACTAGGGTCTTCAGGTGCCAGTGGATCTTGAAGAACTGGCATAATGCACAAAGGACCCAAAGGAATGTCATTGTTAATAATTCTGTAAAACAACAAAAAAATTATCCCTTAGTTTTTAAGAGTCCAGACTCTTATGTATTTTATTATGAGACACCACAATTCTTAGATGTGTTTTTCTTTTCCCAAAAGATGAGCAGTTTTTAGTTTTTGTCCTTTAACTTCCTTCACTGCGAAGTTTAAATGCATGCGTGGCCTTGTGGGCGTCAGCGCTGGGCTCTGGCTAACATCGTGTCTCTTTTCTTTCTCTCAGGCAACACGGTACTTCTCCTGGTACTGTGCATGCAGCATTCCTTCCCCGAGCCCAGCAGGTTGTATCTTGACCTCGTTCTAGGCATCCTGGCCCTGGAACTGATCTGTTCTCTGATGTGTCTACTCATCTACACAGGTGAGAAATGCAACTAGGCTGTCCTTACAAAGACCTACCTGAAGCCTAGCCCATCATCTCTGCCACAAGGAAGTTTTTCCATGTAGCTGAGAACCTGTTAAACATCTATCTCTCTCAATGCTGACCACATCCAGACTTCTCTCATTTCAAATCAACAGGAAGATGCCAGTGAGTCACATTTCTAAATCTGTGTCATCCACAAATTTTTGTCAACTGAAGTGAAGCCTTTTCATTGTAAATCAAAAACAGAAGACTCAAAAGGCCCACAAACTTTTGATTCTTCAAAGGAAACTGATATGTAAAGCCAGCATTTAAAATTTAAAATAACAAAATACTAAATTAGTAAATAAATAATGCATGCAAAACATAATTTAGCCCAAACTTGCTTTAGGATAAACAATTTAAAACCCACTTCTTTCTAAATTTAGAGCTGTCTAAGGGTTTGTCTGTTGTCTTTCTCTCAGAACCTCTCAATGTTTTAAAGTAAGCTGCAGATATGTTAACATGAGAAACAGATGAAAGGGTACTTTGACAGAAAAAAAATTCAGGCCCTGGAGAAATCTAGATTTCATTCCATCTGCAATGTTGACGTGTGGTAAAATCTGTCCATAATCGTAGCTAACTTTGTGGCAATGAGCAGCAGTCGTTTTGTGACAATAAAATACCTTACCTATCTATTTCGAAAGAGATCACTTCTCTAGTTATGAAGGAAGAAGTCACCTGGGGCTCCTTGAGGCCTGGAGAAGAATATTTAGAATACGAATGGAGTGACTAGTTTGTAAATGTGAACGGTGTCGCATTCTTAATTGACTTTTAATAAATTTTTCTGAAGTCATCAGCTAACAATTAGCAGAATTAGATAGAGGATTACATTTGTACCTCACTTTATAAAAGAAATATTGCCACCCACTTAATTTAATAGAAAAGTATAAGACTAGTTTTAAAGTAAGGTTAATTTTTCAGTATGTAGGAAACAGCTCAGTACTTCAGTAAAGTGATCCATGTGAGAGAAATGAACATTGACTGACCTTGTTGATTGATCAGTTTCATTCTATAACATACGTCCGTCAAGTTCTATAAATGCGGTTATAGTTTAAGTCTGAGAATTCAATCAGCATGTTATTTTGTAGTATTTCCACAACTTTTATTCACTACAAGGGGTGCAAGACTTCAGTCAGGTATTTTCTGTAATACCCATAGAATGCTTTATGACATAAAGTAGGTGGCAATAATATTCCAAAGATCACGTGTCATCATGTATATCAAGGGAGATTAATACTGTTAAAATGTAGTCCAAGTTTTAATTCTCTAGGATTTACTATACTATTTTTAAAGGATTTGCTAAAGCCTTTAAAATTAATTATGCTATAAATAAGATGGGTAATGTTAAAAACAAAAAGACCAAACTCGAGACCATTTAAAAGACAGAGGAAGGGGGTGTGTCGAGAATTGTGAGAACTAATTTTTACAGTTAGCATTATATTAGTTACATGACACTTAAACTTGAACAAAAAGAATTTTCCTTTCCTAATTGCAAAGAATCATTTTGGTCTATAGTCAAAGACTCAGAAGCATATTTCATCTTTATTTACACTAATTAATTTTTATCCAAATAAAATATACTATTAAAAATTATCTCTTTTAAATTTCAAACTAACATGCTTCCTACTTTAAGAAAACCCGAGAGTTGGTCATTCAGGCTTATGAAATCGGTGATTTATATAGGGAAGATTTATAATTATTATAATCATACATTTACTTAGTGTAGGGTTTATACAAATACTAAATTTTTTTAGAAGGTTTGAGTATGACTTTTCCCTCCATAACCTCGGTAAGCCTACTTTTTAAATTATACTCCTTTAAATGTACTGTGGGCTCTGACAGGAGAGATTGAGGGAGTCACTTCCAAAGATAACTTTTGCTTTTATTTGATGTCACAGAAAATTTTAGGTCGGTGCCCTGATAAATGCATTTTTCTTGCTTCTCTATACTTTAAAAGATAGCTAGTTTTGATAAATATTGATAGTAACTGCTTGGTACATGATTCTTTGATACACTAATTCTAATCTAATCTTGACTAATTTATTTGTATTGTAAGTAGTTAATCTCTAGAAACTTAGATGAACTCTTCTCATGAAATACTAATTTGGTTGACTGCCAATATCAGAGAAAACTAGGAAAATAAAACTTGAACAGTTTTGAGATACTAAATTTGATTAGCTCTTCATTCATTTGAAAAAAAGCAAAAGATTCAATATAGGCCACTCAGATATCGGCCTTCCAGCAGCCAGTAAAATTGTCCTCTAATTCATATTTTTTACTCCTGCCAACATGATTGTGTTCATAGGCGACTCTGATCGTTAACAACTTCTCTGTTCAGAGTTTTCTAATGGCCTAAGGAAGAAAATCTGAAATCTGAAATCTTAGTCCAGCATAAAAGGCTCTTCAAGAACCGGCCCCTAACCATCCCTGCTCTTCAGGGACGATGGTGAGATCCTTTCCATGACTGCCATTTACTCTCAGGATAAAATCGAAATGCCCTGATGTGGCACACCAGCCACTCCCATCTTCCCTGACCAGCTTTTCAGCCTCAGCCCTCGTCCATGCTCCACCCCCTGCTCACTGGAAACAAAGGGGCATTAGTTGAGTGATATGATAACATAGTTGAGTGATGTAATAACAAGAGTCCTTTTGCTTCAGGGAATTTAGATAGCCAAATAACTGCTCTTCGATTACCCTTGTATTGCTTTTGTCTTACTCTATATGACCATTACTGCAAATATCTGACAATGAAACACATAGGAAAACACTTGTTAATTTAATCTTCCTGTATAATGCACTCCTGAAAAGTGGTACTTGCTAAAATGTTTGAAGATCTTAGGATCCCTGTGCTAGGGCTCACTGAATTATTTGTAAAATAAATATATTTCAGTAAGCTTTTCAAGCTAGCAGTATCCGAAAGCCCCTACTTTGAAAGTATAATCTTGACCATCTCCTTTAAGTCAGAGGAGATGTAAAATTTAGGACACTTTGAGACATTACATTGTAAAATAGCTTGTTTTATGTTTCTGTCACTATTTTGTTCTGTGTTAAAGCTACTGATGGTCTCAATGTAAGTTTTAAATAAAAGTATTTTGTTAGAACACACACATACACACACTCTCTCTCCTCAGGATCTTAAGTTCAGGCTTCCCCCTCATCTAAGATACCCTCTCCTCCACAACTCCAGTTGAGTGATTAATTCTTGTTTCCCTTAAGGCTGGACTCAAGCCCACAGGAGGTTCTCTGAACCTCTCCCCGACCCCCATCCCACTCCTGCTGAGTAAGGGGCTGCTTTATAGGGCTGACCTAGCCCCTTATGTAAGCTTCCATTTATGGTCCTTTCCATACTGTCTGGAATGTGGGCTTATCATCCGTATTTCTCCCTAGACTGGTAGCTCGTTTTATATGGCAGAGCCCACAGGAAAGGCCTTAGAGTCCTGCTTCTTGGATTACAGCCCTGGCCTCTTGTCTAGCTTCTGTGGGCTGCACTTGATTTGATTGTAGAAAATAAGTAATAAGAGCACTCACTCAGGGTGGTTCTGAATGAAAAACATGTAAAACATGTAAAACAGTTCACCTGTGCCTTCTGTGTTTTAAGTGCACCAAAAAAATACCTGTTATTATTATCAAAAATAACAATAATTGCTGTGTTCCCAGTGCTTAGTAAAGGCCCGACACACAGTAGACTTTCAGATGTTGACATGGATAAACGAACCTGTTTGTTCACTTTATGAAGCATTTTTATTCATATTAACTGATTTGAAAAGAAGAGCCAACTAATGTTATTTGAATAAATGGAAATAGAAATTTCTCATAATTAGATTCCCTGACAATAATGACTTTATTATTTTAGTGAAAATTTGGAAATTTAATAAAGCCAAACCACAGCCTGATATACTTGAAGAAGAAAAAGTCTATGCTTACCCCAGCAATATCACGCCAGAGACTGGATTCAGGTAAGCTTTGGGAAGGGAGTAAAAAATGAGAGAAAGAGAACTATCAGAAACCATTCTAATGCTTGCAGATTATGCCTATGCATATCTGCCTTTAGAATTAGATTTCACGTTTACTTTCAGTTGTGGTGAAACCCGTTCTAATGAAAGAGTCTCATTTTGGAATATTGCCTTAGATATAACATCAAAGGAAAAGTAACAGATATAATATGCTGTACTTTCAGCAGTTTTCAGCTGGCAGAGACCTATTGCAGACTGTTGGTGATGTATGTAACCCGTTAATATCTCGATTCTTCGCAGGACCACTTCAAGCCTAGAAGAAATTGTTGAAAAGCAAGGAGACATAATAGTATACCTGAAGCGACACAATGCACTGCTGAGCAAGCGGTTGTTGGCTTTCACTTCCTCTGACCTAGATTCTCAGCCAAGTAAAATGTGAGAGGCTCAAGGTCAAGACAGCAATCACAGAGGGAGCCAGAGTCATTTAAGACTGATGGACTACCTGACAAGCTGACATAGGGATTTGCAGCTTTTGTCAAGTAACATTTTCCAATTTTTGTTGGAAACATGAATTCGGTTCTCACCTGTGTGACTATTTATTATGTAGGGCTTGTGAATCATGTGAAAAGTGCTTTGTAGAGCATTGCTAACTCAAGAAGAATGTCTGTTTTGTACTTTTCAAAATTATTTAACTGCCTGGTTTATCCTAGAACCAAAGATATAATTTAAACATCTCCTTGGCCAACACTTCTTCCACATGACATAAGAACCCGGTAATAATTTGGCTGTTTATTGATGGAATCTGACATGACAATGTATTTAAAACAAAGATTTGATCAAACTTTTAAACTGATGAGGAAACTTATGTCTTGTGTTAATATTTCTTCCCATGGAGCCTTATATGTATTTTATATACTTCTGTGATATTGGGTGGCAGCTTGGCCCTTGTAGCTCTTATAAAGAATTTCCTCACTGTAGGACCAGGGTTTCACTAGTTGATTTATTATGCTAACTCCTACAGTTTTCCATTCTCTAGAAAGAAGATATTTCTCTGATCAGTGTTAGACTAACCACTGCTGCCTGTCACATCTGTAGCACCTTCCAGTGGCAACACTTAAACTTTCTCTTTATTTTTGCCCTTAAGAAGTTACCATGAATTTCTAGTATTGACTTTATCTTCGTTGGGTCAGTAAGTTCAGTGATAGGAAAGGGATCTTCTGTGGCTTTAAGTTTGTCTAAAGGGGAAAAAAAGACACCTTTTTTTAGTCTTGGACTATATTTAAAAATTATGATGGGGATAAAATGTCATATCAACTTATAAAGATATTAAGTGTATCTAATTCTCCAGATGAAATGAAGCATTTTTATGAGCAAATGGCATTACTTCTCCAGTTTTCCTAGTGTGCCCCTTTTTCAATTTGCTGTTGGCACCTTTACATGATGCCTTAGAAAGACTTGGTTTAAAGCTTAACATGAGGGGAGGGGGTATTTGTGATAATGTATGATTATTTATTTATATATTTTTGGTATCTAGCTAAATATTTGGTTTGAAAACCCTCATGCTATACAACTGCTTTCTGGCAAGGGATGTAGTCGTTGGTCACACCCTCTATTACTCAGGGAAGGAGAACACCTGTTTCGTTTAGTTACAGCCACCCGGGGTTCTAAGAGTTTCCTAAGTGTGTCATCAGCAAGTGATACCACTGAATCCCCAGAATGACAAGATTCATAAACTAAAGCCAAAATTGTATTTGCAAAATTCAGATTGTATCCAAGTCTCCTGACTACCCCTTCTTCTTTCCTCCCTTTCTTATTTTTAAAATTTATTTTTCAATTACAGTTAACATTCAATATTATTTTGTATTAGTTTCAGGAGTACACCGTAGTGGTTAGACATTTATATAACTTATGAAGTGATCGCCCCAATAAGCCTTGTACTCATCTGACTCCACAGTTATTACACTATTATTGACTACGTTCCCTATGATGCACTTTACATCTCCATGACTGTTTTGTAACGACCAATTTGTACTTCTTAATCCCTTCACCTTTTCCACTCAGCTCCCCAACCCCACCCTACTTTCCTTCCTTGTTAATAAGTATGTCTTAAAACTACTGCCTTCTCTGGATCTGTCTCTGTGTTCTGGAAGTCTATAAACTTTATCATCAGCTGTTTTCTTTTCCAAAAGGAAAACACTGATGGTAGATGATCAATTCTTACTTATTTTTGAATTCAATTAGGACCTTTAGTCAGTTTCTAAGGTTTATGGGATGAACTTTAGTTTATGGAGAGGCATAGTTAAAACATTAAGATAACTCAGGTTCTGATGTGATGTCTGTATAACCTCTAATACCCTTTTCAATTCAATAATGAACATTTGAAATAATAAAAGAAAATGAAACTAAGTATCAACCAGCAAAACAGAAGAGTGACCAAAGCAATTTATTTATTTTTACATTCAAATTTCAGTGCCCATAAAGTTTTATTAGAATACAGCCATGCTCGTTTATATATTGTTCATGGCTACTTTCATGCTACAATGACAAATTTGTCCTTGTGGCAAAGACTGTATGTCCCACAAAGTCTAAATTTTTACCACCTGGTTTATTGCAGCAAAAGTGTGCTAATCCCTGTATTATGGGGTAAAGTCTAAATCCCTTACTAAGCAAAAGGAGACCCTTTAACATCTAGCCCATGCCTGCAAACCCAGCCTAATCTCCACTCCACTACCTGTGTTTGAAACCCAGAGGACCTGCTTAAAGTTACACTATCCCTTGTTTCAAGTGGTGCTCCCTTTTCCCAAAGACTCTTTCCACTCCTCCTCAAATCCTTCACAAATTTCTACCCGTCTTTCAAGACTCAAAGGGTTCCAGATTCAGACTCTGTTGTTCTAAATATGACTATTGCCTTAGCAATTATCGCTCTCTCTCCTCTGATTTCTACATACTCTTAGGTTACTTAGCATATTGATTTGAGTGCTTGATTACTAATTTTTCCTCCCTGAATTGAGTTCCTTGAGGACAGAAATATCACATTTACCTGTGTATCTGCAGTGCATGACAAGCAACAAATGTGGAAATCCTTATGTGTCCAAGAAAAAAAGAGAAAAGAGAGAAAAAAGGAGGAAGAAAGTAAGGGAGAAGAAAAAGAGGGAGGGCAAAGAATTCCTTTTGCTTCAGAGTACAGTTAATTTGTTAGTGCAAAAGTTTTACTTCTTTAGAATGTAATTCTGCTCTAAAAAAGTAAGCTTATACAAATGAGGAAGACAAACAGACTCATGGACACAAACAACAGTTTAGTGATTACCAGAGAGAAAGCGGGGAATGTAGATCAGAGTAAAGAGAGTCAAATATGTGGTGATAGAAGGAAATTTAACTTTGGGTGGTGAATACACAACGCAATGAAATTTTATAGATTTCACACATACAATTCCATAATACATCATATGTATATTGTATTGTGACCAAAGCGATTTAAATGTTAAGCATCATATTTTCCAGGC